TTTGCATGACTAATGTGCTATCTTTACTGGAGCAGTCACATCTTCTGCTTTTCCAGCAGCAAAGAAATCTCAGAGGCCCTGAAGAGAAACGATGTGATCAAAACGGGCTAAGACTGAAAATAGCTCTTCTTCATGTCACTGATGAATACTGGATTCCACTCCCCTCCCCACCCTTTATATACAGGCTGTGCTTAATGCAGACTGTTATTTTCTAGAATACAGCCGAACGGGGATTTTTTAAAAAGGCAGTGTGGCAAGGCGGGGTGGGGGGATCTATGAAAGATACTTGGGTGCCTGTTTTCAAAATGACAGGTGGTGGGGTCAACGGCATGGAAAGATGATACGACTGTTGTAGCAGAACAGGCTCTTGAGAGCTCCTAATTCATCCTCTGGCTTTGCCACAGGAGGTTCTTCTCTAATTAAAAATCCCACCCAGATTATTCCACATAAGCAAATGCAGCCTTGGAACATCAGTGTTTACTGTGTAATTGTATTATTCCATTGAATGGCAACAACGGCAGCACCACTATATAATGCCTGCTACAGAATAACAGGCACAACAATGACCACACTCCGCCCCCTGAGAGTTTAAACAAAGCTCAGTCGCAGAGGACAACCGAGGAAGAGAAAAGAAGGGAGAGAAAAGCAGCCAGGAGACGTGAAGAAAACCCTGCTTCACATAGTACGTGTTGGTTTTAAGAGGGATTGGGCAAAAGGTTTTGTGGAAAAGCTGCTGGGGTAGAGCGAGGATGCTTGTGTTGCCCGTTCATGTCAACAGGAAGAGCCGCGTCTGGCTGGGATTGACCTGCTTACCATAACACCATACATGGAATGGCCATGTGTCCTCTCTTACAGAGGGCTGTTTCCTGAGGGTGTTCTCCACCTGAAGGGCTCTCTGTTCAGTTTCTGTCTAAAAGGAAGGAACCATGCGGACTGTTGCGCATGCACAACAAGTACCTGGAAAGCAGCCTGAAGAGGAAGGCACACCAGTTCTCCATACTCCAGTGAGGTAGAATATATTTCTCTTTATATTGCAATAATTATTTCTAAATTGACGCATGTACCTATAAGCTAGCATGTGCAAACTGTGCACAGATTAGTGCCCTCATTTCGGGTGATATATTTCCTTTCTTTTGGCTATTCATAAATGTCCACCCACTATACACAAAAAATCTGGCTTTGGAGGGCAGGCATATGCCAGAGACAGGATTGCATCTCCCACAGCAGCTGTCATGGCGTCCCGAGGGAGGATGGTCTCTTTCATTTTGTCAGGCCTGATTTTATCACAAACGGTGCATTTCTGGGGTTAAAGTGTGCTGGACAGCTGCTCCCTGCACACTCCTTCCTTCCCAACAAAACTCTTGTGTCTTCCCCTTTGCCACCTAAAGGCCAGTCTGTGAAAAATGGAAACTCTGCTAAAATAAGGAAAACGTGTGTGCACTGGCAGTGACAAAGAGCCAGGCAGCACTGAAGGAAGCAAAACCATAATGCATCCCAAACCCACCGCCTGAGGGAGCTGCAAGTTTCCTTCAGCAGACCAAGATACTCTCCTGTGTTCCTGTTGCATAATCACATTGTGCATTCTGAGCTGTGCCTTTCACTCGTGGTGCTGAGGATGGATTGGCCATGACAAGCTAGTTCCCTGGGCTCTGTGTAAGTGCTGAAACAAATCCCTAGCAGAGCTAATTCTGGGTGGAAACAGGATAGGAGTTCTGGACCAGCCACCTTCTTGCACCGTTTTTAAAAAACAAAATGACAAGGCTGCTTCTCCCAATGGCCCTTTTGTTCCTTAGCTCTTCAGACAGAATTGGTCATCGCTGAAATGCCACTTCCCCTCCACTCCACGAGGGACCTGAAGACGCTGCTTCAAGCACAGCAGCCCCCCAGTCCCAAAAACATTTGGCTGACCTTGCTCAACATGCCTGCAGAATGCAGGCCACCTAGTCAAACATTTATCCCATACTTGGCGAGATACAAGCCAAATTCCTAGTACTGGGTCAAATTCTAGAACAGCTGATTAGGCAATCGCTCTGACAGCATGCAGAAAACAATGCATAGATTTCTTGCAGCCACCATGGGCTTTTCACAAGCCAGGCCAACCGTCTTCTTTAAGAAGGATGTTGAAAAACTGAAGCTTGTCTAAAAGAAAGTGACCTGCATGGCAAAGGATACGGAAACCATGAAGAACAGCTGAGAGAGCTGGGTATATTCAGAATGAGAAAAATATTAATTTGCTAAATAAAAGTAATGGTCTATTACAGCAAAATGCAAAAATGAGTCTAGTGTTTGGACAAGGGAGCTCAGTTGGGCTGTTCACACAACACAAAAGTCCAGCATGAGTTAACCAATGGTGAGGCTGTAGAGAAGCAGCTTCGTTTTGATGTGCCAAGTGAACCAAGCAGGGGTTAAACAGCTCCAGCAGAAGGCAGGTTGCCTACTTGATCAGACATCTGCAGACATCATGGCTCACTGTGGGTTAAATAACCCTGGTTAAGCCATGGGATGTCTTCTGAATCCAGACCCTTTGGTGATAGACAGCTACTGGCCCCTCCAACCTTCCATCTTCACTGTATGTATCAACTTACTAATTCAGAGATGTGCTCATTCTCTCTTGATGAAGGGGCCATTGTGCTCCACCAGCCTTTGCGTTTTAAAGTGCCATTAAACATTTTTTATTTAAGCTTAGTTTCATCTGAGAATTAAAATCAGTTGGTTCAGCAAATGTTTTCATGGGTAAAATGAGTTTTGAGAAATGGTTTGAAGGAAGAGAGAAAGGTAAAGAGACCCACAGAGAGATGACACCATGGAAATGTTTTAGAAAGGAGAAAGCATCAGTGCAGTACAATGATTTTAGACTCTAGACTTCATGGTATCATACTCCCTCCCGCCCTCCCTCTCTCACACACACTTTTACTTTGAAATGTGACATATCTTACCTGCAACATTTGGGGCCCTTTGGCACATCCCGAATGGTGCTTTGGACTGCTTCCTCCAAGTCAGATGTTGTGGGCACAGCAGACAAGGGAGCACGGACCATTTAAGAAAACTAATCTGCAGGTAGCAGAGGATGGTAGGCTTGGAAAAAGAAAGCTAATGGATTAGGAAACAGGAGTAAAAGTTGAAAGATGGGGTAGGGACAGAGGATGGATTTGAAGTGATAGCAGGGAACTGTGGCTTCCCATTCCCTGCTTCTAGTGGAATCATTTTTTTTCCGGAATTGAAGGCAGGCCAACAAAAGCTATTGCGAAGGATATTACCAGCCCCTTCCTTGCTAAGCTCCCTCAATGAAAGGATGACAGGAGTGGGTGAGGAGTGTTTGTGACAGCTGCCTTCTGGTGTCCCATCACACAGCCCAGAAAACAAGAGGCAGGACGCAGAAGGTCAGATGGAGGCCACAAAGCTTGAGAATGGCACAGACCAGTTGAAACCAAGATTCAGACCAAGATACTGCACCACTAGGTTAGGGTTAGCACACAGAGCACAAATTGTACTGGGAACTGCAAGAATTAAAGAGATGCTTTCTTCAAGTCATAAAAGTGGTTTGAAGAAATCCAAGATGTGAAAGGAGAAAATGTGTGAGCAGAACAGTTTGGGCAACACCGCACAAGCGAGATGATCATTGTGAAGATGATGGTGGGGGAAGAACATGTGCACTCAGCTGTCCGATGGAGCTGCTCCCGTTTTAATTATTCCACAGAATGAGTGTGGATGCACCTTCTCTTGCAAAACGGCTGTTTCTGGTGCTTCAAGAAGTTTTTCATGCCATTGCCTTGCGGCATTCATGGGATGTTACTGTGATCCAGATGCCACCACCTTCCCCTTGTACCCTTCCACACTCTTTTTTCTTCCCATGAACAATCCATGAAGAAGGGGAAGTTGGGAGAGTGGCACAAGGCTTTCCTGGTGGTCATGCCAGGAGCCTTCCCTTAGGAAGCATCCGTTTCTTTGAGCAGAATTTTCTATTTCTGTCTTGTCCTATCAGCTTGGTTGGGGTGGACTCCCCTCTCCAACAGATGCTCTATGGAAGCAGGGGGCAGCTGTGGTGGCCCCCCCAGCAATTCCCCTCCGTTGGGCGGCGCTGTGTGTGCTTCGTGGTGTGCCTGCAGGCCCTAAGCAATTGTGCAGCTCTCTTCAGGTAGCAGTGTGTGTTGGAGGCTCAACGAGGCAGGATGTCTCTTCAGCATGGAGCTGCGTGGGTTGTACAAGCTCCTTGATCATTCCTCGAGTAGCAGAGGGAGGAGATCATGGCAACTCGTGCACTGCGCATCTGCCTTTTAATCCCCGAAGGATCACTGGCAGATGCTCACAGCAGCCAACACAGCCATCGCAACAGGCCCTCAGTGCACCCAAACAAAACCAGACTGATTGCCGTGGCTGGAGGAAATTGGATTGCTTTCCCGTTTCATCCTGACTCTAATGCACACAAACATGAATGCTGCTGCCGTTCTCTGTTCATATACTCACGTGACCTCAAATTGGTGTCCTGTTTCTCCTCACAGTGCCCACCATATTTTCACAGACCACAGGAAATCCATCTTTTGAGTAAAGAATGGAACAACAGTGCAATATTCCCAGGTGTAGATTGCCTTGGCACAACTCTTCCATCTTCTTAAAGAAGTGTGGATATTATTATTGCATTGCATTTATGCCCTGCCTTCCTTCTTCTTGTGAAGAACCCAAGGTGGATTATAGTTCTCCTCCATTCCATTGTTATCCTCAGAACAACCACCCTGTGAGGTAGGTTAGGCTGAGAGTGAGTGACTGGGCCAAAGTCACGCAGTGAGCTTCACAGCCAAGTGGGGACTAGAACCTGGATCCCCATCGTCCCCAGTCCAGCAGCACTGCGTCACACAGGCTGTCAATACTATGTAGGTTAGCCTATCACCCCATTAGTCCCTCAGTGGGAAAAAGTTTAAATTTCCCCACATTTTAAAACACACACACAAACAGCAATGCTTACATTACAGCACTTAGCATAAATGAAAACACACACCCGTTACTTTTCAGGGCTACCCCATTTTATCATAGTTTTTTTTTTTAAAGTCTACTTTCCAACGTTATTGAAGTAGCTGTATAAAACTGCAGACATTTTAAAAGGCGCTTCAGTGCTATTTAAAGTGATTTGAAAATCTGCTCTGAAAAAGGATTAAAAATAGTCATTCCAGGTAGGATATAACAATATAAACACACACAAAAGTATTCCAGCAATAGAAATGTCGCTCACACCAGATCAATGACTGAGTAGCAGGAGAAGTTGCCAGACAAAAAGCACTCAGGTGCAGTGTTGACCTTGCTGATCCGGGGATGAGGCCCATGGAAGCCCAGTGGGACACCCCCGAGCAGGCAGGCGTAAGCAGTACGGGGGGTGGGGGAACCCCTGGCCTGCAGACCCATTCCAGCTGTGGGTGCTGCCAATCTGGGCTAAGCAAGGGCTCCCTCTATAGGTCCTGCTTCCTACTGAAACCCCAATCCAGGAGTCACTGGGGAGCTTGGGAAGAGGGCAGAATCCTCCCAGTATCTCTGATCATCACTTGCAGGTTAATGGGAGAGAAGTCACACGGAATACAAGTAGCGGCACACCTATCCAGAGAGCGAGATGTTCCAAGGCATGCCTGAGCACCTGGGCCTTCAGCTGGCCAGACCCAAGGGGTAATTTCTCTCTCCCCTGCCTTTGCCAACACCACACTCGTCCCACCACAACCACATACGAGGAGGTGTTTGCCCAGAGGAGATTCCAGTATTACTTGGGTTCAAGAAAAAGACACAGGACCACCCCAACACAGGCCACAGGAGCACAAGAAGATGGTGGCTGTGAAACACCTGAGAAGTAACTAGTATGAAAAAGAAAAGGGTTGAAAGCGAGGTGCTTCTGTGCAGCATTGAACATTGGCTCCAGCAAGCCAGGACAGCTTTTGCTCTGGTTTCCATGATGAGCTGCCCAATCCTTCATTCTGCAGCTGTCACCACAAAGTCTGTGAATACAAGTTGGCAGCATTTGCTCTCTAAGGGGAAATTCCACCCAGACCTTAAGTGACAGCAGCCTTCCTGGCCAGCTCCTTTTCAGTTCCAAGAGACCCTGTGAGTGAGAACGTTCTCATGGAACAGTCCGGAAAGGAACACCACTTTTTATTCTCCATGCCAGTGTAAAGAAGCAGAGAAATTGGCTCATTTTTGATCATCTGTCTGTAATCCTGAAGAAAAAAGAACCCCATCTAGGGAGCCTGGGTTTCAGCAGCAAGTCCACCCTGAGTTTGCTAGCAGGCCGAGATTCTGAGCAGCTACTGGATAAGGGAGGGAGCTCCTTGCCACTCTCCTCCCAAGTTGGGAGAGAACAGAGGTTGCCTCAAAGCACCTTAAGTGAGAAAGAGGACATCTCAAGTCTAGAGGCTGGACCTCTGCAGAGGACTGTCCGGAACAACGGCGTCACCAACCCCTTCCAGAAGTTCATCCCATTTATCGAAATCTTCTTTCAGCTCTAGGGAAGAGGAGAAAGGGAATGCATTTTTATTTGTTCAAAGCATTTCTATTCTGCTCCCAGCCAAAGAGGAACAGCTTCTGTTCTAGACTCTGCCTGTGGGCTTGTAATCTAAAAAGACACAATAAATAAGGAAAAAGGGATTGGTACAGAAGAGGGGGAGTTACGTTGCCTGTGCTTCCTGTCTCCCCCAGTACTGATACCTAGAATGGGTGCTTCCAGCAGGGCTCGGGTGCAAGCATGAGGAAGGTTGCAGGTGGAGCCTAGCAACACTTCTGCACCCCACCAGACAGCGATGCGTCTTTAAAATCTGCTTCCAGCTCTCTGAAGCCATCGCTTCCCCCAGGTCCAGACAGGGCCCCGGAACAGCTTGGGGATATAGACTTACGGAGATGTTTCTGCAGGAAGGCAAGAGCAGCCTGGTTGGTGAGGTTGAGGCCTTTGTAGGGATCGATGGTGCCTCTGGTTTTGAAGACTTTATTCACAAGATTCCCCGCAAGGAAGGTGAAATCAGTCTGACTCTGGTGAACGGTACCCCTGCGAACATACAAGGATTTCAAAATGACCGAAAAGCCCTGGTTAGGAACAGACCCAAACAAAAAAGCTGGTGCCTCACCTGGGCCCAGCATGGAGCATCCTGCACCGGCCTTCCCCAACCTGGTATCCCAGCTAGCTTGGCCAATGCCCAGGCGTGAAGTGGGGGGCAGCCCACACAGCTGAAGTTCACAACACAACAAACTATAGGTTCTTTTCCGGGACTGTTTGAGGTTAACAACCATAGTGAAACCACAGTGCAGGGTTATAATGACGACCCACAATTCAGCAACAATTCATAATACAACAACAACCCACACTCAACTTGTACTCTGAGTAGTCATCATGTGCAAAGCAGAACTGTTTTTTCCCTTCTCCGTTCATTCTTCACCTCAGCATCTCACCTATTTTCACTCGGCTTCCTTTACTTTATGTATCATGAAGAACGGATTAAAAGTCCCAGAAGGGAGTGTGTCTGATTTTTTAGTCTATAGATAACCCCTATTTCTTTACACATGTGCGCACATACACGTGCACACACACGCTACTATTTTGACAAGCATTGTTTGAACAAACACGCACTTACAAAATGGTTATAATCTTGGTCTCGCTGCTTGTGGTGGCAATCTTTTTCATTTTGGCCACACTTTCTGCTGTCTGGAATGCTTCTGTGTTGACAAAAAGCACTGGCTTGGTCACTTTCGGATACAGCGAGTTCTCCAGTGGGAACATCCAGGCATCAAGAGCAACAGCACATCTGCAGTGAGGTGGAAGGCAACATGTGCAATTCAGCAGGTAGCCAAGGTTTTGGATTCCCCCCCCCCCCGGCTGGCACGCTGAAGTCTTTGAGACAGCTGGGCTCTGTGTGTTTGGAGACCCCTCAGAACCACCTCTGGAATATACTCACTTAAACTGGGCTTCTTTAACAAGGGCCAGAATGGATGTGGCTCCGCCAAAGGAGTGGCCCATGACGGCAGCTTTGGTTAGATCCACATTATCCTGCATAGAGATTAAGAAGGAAGCTCAAAAGAAGGCAATTCCCAGATTTTAGTCTTAAACATGTGGATGCAGGACCTCAAGCCAGGGACTAAATCTGGGCATGTCCTCTTTGCCTACCCTTTTTCTTTGCGTACTGACTGTCCAGGGAAATATTAAAAAAGACATAAGCTAGTGCCAAAATAACACCCACACTAGCACCAGGTGAATGTTCCTTAATATTCCTTAAATATTCCACAAATAGGGTGCTACAACCCAGAATCATTCCTTCCAGCATGCAGAAGGGTTCTTTTGCAACTCAAACGATGCAGAAAGGACTCCCTCCAGTTTGGACACTTCCAGATGGGGGTGTAGATTCAAGTCTTTTCTCTGGCACAAATTACGCAAGTCAACCTCAGTTCTCCATCTGTTAAATGGTGAACTACTTCAAATGGCTGTGAAAACAAAACCTTAGGCCTGGCACAGAAATCATTAGCAGCAGTATTTACGATTAAAGCAGTATGCCAAAAAAACTGCTCTCCTCCATCAGAGACTGCATCCTATCAAGAGTCGGAAGAGTGAATTAGCTCAGTGCAATTTACCTTCAGAACAGAGAGATCAAAGTCGGTTTGTAAGAGGTTGGCAACTGCCTTGCCGTTGTTGATGCTCCGGATCAGCTTGAGCCCTCGAATGCACTCGTTGGCTCTTTGATGGAGCTGCAGCAAGAAGGAGGCCTGGCATGAATCCTTCCATTGACAGTAAACAGGGTGAAGCCGTACCGTGCCCTCTTCGCATGAAAACAGAGTGGAATGAGAAATGGAGGCTCCTTGGTGAAGTCCAGGGCATTCTGCACTGGACATTTTGCTGCCCGAGACAAGGACACAGTGGCACATTCCCTATTCCATACACCTAAGCCCACCTCAGCACTGGCAGCAAAAAAGGCTCCTCCACCACTGCAAGCCAGTTTTATCCAGCAAGGAAGGGGTGCACAGGAGTGGCGAGGGAGAAGACAGGCAATAGGTTGGCCTGGTACGCTAAAGGACCCAGGCTTGATCTCCAGGTTCTCCAGGCAGGGCTGGCAAAACTCCTGACTGAAACTCTGGAAGACTGTTGCTGGTCAGCCACCAGGACCCGGGGTCCGGAATGATAGAGGGCTGTTTCCAAGGTTCCTCCTGAAGATCATAAATCTATTTCTTGCCTCCATTCTTCCTCTGGGAGTGGCCTTCAGAAGCAGGGGGGCAGACAAACTGCTCTCTCTACCAAGCTGGGGCCCTTGTTCATGGGTGCCCCAACAGCTTTGCACCCTTGTCCCCAAGCACAGAGCTGTACTTGCCTCCCAAAGAATAAAAAGGGCTCGAAGCACAGCACCCAAAGTTTCCCTGGAGGGAAGGCAAAGCACTCAGTGGGGTCTCCCAGACACTGGGCACTAGGGCAGCCCCATCTGCACTGCTTTCTTCTTCTTGGTCAAGGAAGAAGATGGAGGAGTGGTAAGATTGCAAAATAATTCTCAGGACCAGTTTTAAAGATTGATCTATGCTGGAAAAGTCGTCTAATTTTAAAAAAAAATCAAAGTAGCTTCCGAAGCCAAACTGATGCAGAACAAAATACAAACAAGAGAAAAACACCTGCATACTTGCTCCAGTTTTCTGGCAAGGGTTGGTGGCACCAGAGTCCAGGCACAAATAGTTTTGGATTGTGTTGCTTTTAATGTAATTGTGAACCACTTGAAATTTAGATAATTAAAAGAAACATATCAATATTTTAAAACTTTTTTAAAGATATTTTACAGGCCTTTCTAGAAGCAACCCTATAGCTTAGGAGGGATGGAGAAATATTCCACATCCATGGGGACATTACTATAAAGGCCCAGCCTCTAGCAGTTGTGCTTTTAGCTCCACCTAGTGGTGGAATGTTTACAGATTAATGTTTTAATCCTTTCCTTCTTGGGTTCTTCAAGAAGAAGTGGGTGGGAAACTGTCTGAAGTGCCCTTGATAGAGAGCGGTATGATAAAACAATGGAAAAAAGCATCAAACAGCACTTTTGACTCATGTATTTATACCTTGATAACAACACTGCCTTTGCAACAAGTTCAAACTGCTCACACAGAAAGCTACTAAAACCCACTTGAAGCAGCTACTAGAGGACTACAATTTTCGCGTGCCTGTGGAAGGATGTCAGATGGCATCTTGACCTTGTGTCCTGCTTTGCTCCATTTAAAAAAAAACCAAAACCAACAACAATTATCAAGAGTATACCTGTGGGTTTCGGAAGCGAAACTCTTTCTCCTTTGGTGCTCCTCGATAGGTGAGCCATTGTTCCTGAACCTGAGCCTCTGGGAAGTCTGGTGCTTCGGGATTCAGCTTGCAAAAGTAAGTGGCAGAGGCAGAATGATCTCTGAAAAGAACAAGTTTGCTGAGTGCTGGCTTCTGGCAGAATCAGGCAGGAAGGCAGAGAAGTCAGTGCAGCTCCTGAATCCTGGTCAAGCCCCACCAGGAGCCAAACTATTAGTTTCCTGTTGCTATGTGCCAACAAGTCATCTCTGACCTGGGGCAACCCTATGAATAAGGGCCCTTTAAAATGTCGTGTCCTTCACAGCCCAGCTCAGCTCTTGTACATTCCAGGTTGCAGCTTCCTTTAGTCATTTCGTCTTCCTTTCTCTTCTAGCTTCAACTTTCTCTAGCATCATGGTCTTAAAATTAGTATTACTCCTCGACCCGGAGCTTTCTTTGGAAGCTCAGGTGACAGCGGTAGCGAGGAACGCCTTCCTTCAGCTTCGGCTGATTAATCAGCTGCGCCCCTACCTGGAGTACGACTGCCTGGCAACGGTGACACGCGCTGGTGACTTCCCGCCTAGACTTCTGTAACGCGCTTTACGTGGGGCTTCCCCTGAAGACAGTCCGAACACTTCAATTGGTGCAAAATAGAGCTGCCAGGTTGCTGACGGGGATGGGGCGTTATGCTCACATGACTCCAGTCCTCCGTCAGCTTCACTGGCTTCCCATTGAAGCCCGGGCCCAATTCAAGGTGTTGATTATGGCCTATAAAGCCCTAAATGGCTTGGGTCCTGGCTACCTGAACGAGCGCTTACGTCCGTATATGCCCGACCGCCCTTTGAGATCTGCGGGAGAGTCCCTTCTCCGGGAACCCTCCATGAAAGAAATTAGGAGAGTAAGTACCCGGAGGAGGGCTTTCTCTGCGGTGGCGCCCAACCTATGGAATTCACTCCCCAAAGAGGTCCGCCTGGCACCGTCGTTACTGGTTTTTCGACGCCAGGTAAAGACCTTTTTATTTAAACATCATTTCAATTGTTAAAACATATGATCTGGCCAGGGCAACTTCTTCTTCCTTCTCTTTCTCCCCCTATATTTTTATTTTATACTGATAATTTTAATTTTATATTTGTAAATCAATGTATTTTTTGTATTTTTATATTTAATGGTAATTTATTATGTACTATTGTATTTCAATGTATTTTATCATGTTGTAAGCCGCCCCGAGGTTTCGGCAAGGGGCGGCATAGAAATGTTATAATAATAATAATAATAATAATAATAATAATAGGTTTGTAAATCCCACTGAAATAATTAGACCACGTGTTTTCCCTTGCTACTTCACACATCTGGAAATCTGTCCCAGAATTCCTATATGACACAGCTTCTCCAAGAGAGGCAAACTCATCACATGCGGAAGGAAGAAGAAGGAAGCCGTGGTTTCATACTTGCTAGCTCCCTGCATGTCATGTGAGGGGTAGCAGAGAGATGGTGGTTCATGTTTGAATTTGGGCTTTCCTAATTTCATATTTTCAAACCAACATGTAAACCAAAATGGTTATCTTTTGCAATTCACACATCTCCAGATTATGCAATGGAGGTTTTCAGTTAAAACAATTCATAGAGTAATCCACATTATCTGTGGATTTTTACAAACATTATTTATGCTGGCAAAACTCCATACATACATACTTGCATTTGGAAAAATGCTCACAAATATGTGTACAAGTTTTCATGCAAACCCAGAAAAAATTCTCAAAGTTCAGGATGAACTAAAAAATAAGAAACTGAGAAAGGGAGAAATTGACAGATTCATCTATTCCCAACAACGAACAATTAGCCTCTGAGGATGGTGGTGATTGGCACAGTGAGTCACTGTTCTTCCTGAATTTTGCATTAGGGCAGAGCCAGGAGAGAAAATGCATTCCAGAATTGGCAGCAAGCAGAAGGGTGAGCGAGGCTATGCCTTTGTGAGTTACATAAGAAAGCAAGCAAGCAAAGCAGAAGCAACCATGCTGGCCATCAAACATTACAAAAGCCACTTCCTCAGGGAAGAAGTTGCAAAAACCAGGTGGAACAAAGCGAGAGGAAAGGGAAAGAAAGAAAAATCTGCCGCGATCTGTCTGCATGATCAGAGCTCCAGAAGGAATGGGAGAGGAGGGGGCAGCAAACATTCCAATTAGGCTCTAGCAGGACATGGGGCAGTTATATGTGGGACCCACAGCTCGCCCTGTGACAACTGGAGCAAGAAGCAAGAGATGATGGATCCCCCAATTTCTAAAAACATATTTATCAGTTGTTACTCCCGCCTATGTCAGTCTCCAAACACTCTGGGGGCCAGGGGACACTCAGTGGGTGCAACCACAAAATGGCTGCCAGGTCAACTTCCCATTCATGGGGGATGCGGCTTGTCACAAACCATCCTATGGGAACCAGCCTTTTAACAATCTCCTGGTTCTCGCTGCTGTAATTGCAGGAATAAGTGCTTGGAAATTGTGCTTGCACGCCTTAGAACACTCAGTTAACTTCCTGTGCACATGGAGGGGGAAACGTGCTGACCAAAGCCCTTTTTAGAAATACACAAATGGACCCAGAGTCTTAAGGGTCTGAGTCTCTCTCACCGGTGCTCAAGTGCCATCACCAAGAACCCCCGTGAAGCCATTTCGATGCAGACGGCAGAATACACAGTCCTGAAAGTTGAAGAACAAAGGAGGGAATAAGGCAGAGTAAAATGTAATGTGATACTAAGATACCACCATCACCACCACTAATACAACTCCCACCATTCCTGAGTACTGGCCATGCTGCCTGGGGCTGATGGGGCCTGGGAGTCCACAGCATCTTGGGGCCACAGGTCGGGGAAGGCGCATTTAAAACCTGTTTAAATGTCTCACTGTGAGCATGACCTGCATTTTGGGGGATTAAGCAGAAGATGACAGCAGATACTAATAGCACTTAGCAGCAGCCATGACCAGCTATCCAGAATGACTGGTGTCTAATCCATGACATCTAATCTAAGATATGTTCAGGTTTGTGTAGACTAAGCCATTTTAGTAGATATTTATCCCTTGGAGCTTTCGAAAGAGCTTACTACGATCTGAGGGCTGGATGGCAGACTGAATTGCTCACACGACTTAGACATTTTCACCTTTAAGGCATCTGTCAAGGCCATGACACAGCAACTTGTGCCACAGAAATGTTCTCAGCCTGGGGCATTCTGAACGTGTTGGACCACAACTCCCAGAATCCTAAGCACCCTGGGAGATTCTGGGAATTGTGGTCCAACACAACCAGGGGGGTTCAATGTCTGGAAAGGTTACTTTAACAGGACCAATGTATGTGAATACTGCGCACCTTCCTTCTCCAGCCAGGTGCCCTCCTGATGTTTGAGACTACAATTCCTTGCACCCCTTGCCATTGGCCACCTTAACAGTCATCATCAGCTTGTCCAAATTGTTTCCATATATCCATTCCATTTGAACAAAAGTAGAAAATGTCATTACACACAGATCCAAAAGGCAAGTCTTCTGGAAAAGCAAGGTGTTTAAGCAACAGTTTGGGACTCTTACCGAAAAGCTCCTAATCCGTGGGAGAATATGATCAGAGGATACTTGTGACTACTCAGTCTAAACGGTGCATCCCAACTCACGGGTATTTTACACGAACCTGTAGAAACGAAGTGATGCATATTAGAGGACCGAGGCTGCCGTGTCAGAGGCCTTCCCTGCTTATGAGGTTGCGACCGCATTCAAGAAGCCATCTGCTTTCTCATCTGTCTTAGTGGCTTCTTAGAGGTGAGGATCATCTCCTATTCCAAGGCATCGCCCCTTCGCATGTGGCCTGATCTACACCGCCTGCAGTCCAGTACACATTTCTGCTGCTTGCGCATGTTTCCAGACCCTAAGGCAAAGCAACCGACACACATCTTACCGAAAGTCACACTGAGCAGAGGGGCACACCACCTCCGGTTCATGTTCATGTAGTCGGCCAACCCACAATAATACTCGTAGCGGGGGATCCAGGAGGGCTGCTCGGCTCCATCGCAAGGGGTGCAGGGGTAAAACAAGCGGAAGAAGAGGCCCTGAGGGAGAGAAACGCAGGCTGCGATGGACGCTCCAGCACACGCTTTGGACGACCAGGCCCGTTCTCCCAGCTGCCAGGATGTCCCTGCTGAGGACCTGCGTGATGCCATGTCTCTCACACCATTCTCTCAAGTCCTCCCTTAAAGCCCACCTTTTCCGCGGAGTCTCTGCATCCGACTCTGACTCAGCCAGTGACGAAACCCAAACACATGCCATGGAAACAAGCGCATCCCCTTTCACCCTCAGCCTCCCTTGCCCTCCACTCACTCTGTAGCAAAATGGTGGACTGCAAACTGACAGTTCACAGCCAACCAAGAAACCTCAACTCCCAGGGCCTTGTTGGCCCACTCAAGACTAGAAAAGAACAAAGCTAACCTGATTCTCAGCTATACACCTCAGTTCTACCTTCTGCAGGATCAAGATGCACAAAGCTCAAGGCTTCACCGCATTCTTTGACACAGTGAACAGGCAGCAGGGCAGAACTTCCCAAAAGGGGAACAAAGACCCTCTTTCCTCACCGGCCTTTATTCCCCAGCTCTACTGATGCTCAGTTGACCCACGGGGCGATGGCCCATCTCCCAATCCTTGGGACCAACCATTTACTCCAGGTGTTGGTTGTGAACCAGTCCTTGATGTTACCTTCTGCCCCTGAGGCCCTAAGTTTTGATAACTCCCAAATACATCACAAAGGGAGGAGGATGCCTCCCAGAACCGTGGGAGCCAGATTTCTGCCGTGCGGCACCTGGATTTAAAGCATTTAATCTGTTACAGAGTTAACCTTTCCCTTGCTCCCCGTGGAACAAGGAGCAGGTTCATGTTCATGTTACAGCCACCGTCATTTGTTATCAGAAGCCTTGAGAAACATTTGCACTTCTGCTCAGTACCACAGCACCCCCTTGTGGTTGTGTGTTGGGATGCAAAGAAAAGCCAAGAAGGAAAATTCCCAGCCGAGGCAGTTTTGTGTTAAGGATACGCTCTTCCTCCTACAGAGAAAATGGTAGAAGCCATCTTGGTCAAGTGCCAGGTTAAACACCTTGTGTGGGGCTCCAAGGAATCCTTTTGTATATACTTCCTCCACTGCCGTTCCTTCCTGTATTTGCCAATTTATCATCACCATCACATTTCATTTACATCCTGTCTTTTTCCCTCTGGTGAGGAACTTAGAGGAACTCCATTTTGTCCTCACAACAATCCTGTGAGGCAGATTAGGTTGAGAGTGACCCGGCGCCCTCCAGATCTGTTGGACTACAAATCCCATCATCCCCAGGCAGCACAACCAATAGTCAGAAATACTAGGAGTTGTGCTCCAAAACTTCAGAAGGGCATCAGGTTGGGGAGTAAGAGGATGCCAATGTAGCCCTTTCTATCTGATATGGGGCAGGAAGATGGCTAGGTAACTCCTTCCTGAAAGAAGTTAATACACAGTGCAGCTGCTTTGAAATAAGAAAGGAGACCATTACTCTCCAGCTCCCTCTGCTTCGCTTATGCCGTGGCCATGACCCGCATCAAAAGCAAGCACAGCCAAGCATCTGCCAAGGAATGCATGGCAGCAGGGGCCTGACAACAGATGTCCCCGGAATTGCTTCTCTTTGTCAGTTTTGCAGCCCGTTTGTTCACCAGCCTCGCCCTGCAGCCCCCATGTTGGTGGTGGGCAAGAGCAGCCGAAGCAAGGCCTGCTTTCTCGCTGGTGCACTGCCCATCAATCAGGGAAGCAAGTGGTACCCATGGAGGTGATGGGCCAGAGCAGCTGTGCCAATGGCGATGGAAGGGAAATGCGTGGAGGCCGGGCCTGCTGGGTTTGCCTTGCCTGAGAGCCAGGACTGCTCCGGCCCCAATCCAAATTGGCCCCCTTTCCCATGGCTGCTTTTGTAAAACTAAAGACCAAGCAGAGATAGCAGTCTGAGACATTCCACCCTGCCTGTGGCTGAATTCACAGAAATGCTTCCCTTACATGCCCTCACGACCCTAAAGATCTGTGGGAGAGGCTTTGCTCTGAGAGCCCTCTTCAAAGAAGATAAAAAGAACAACTACCCGGAGCAGGGCCTTCTCTGCGGTGGCACCCAGGTATGGAATGTGTTTCCTGGAGAGGTGCGCCTGGCGCCGAGTCTATATTCTTTTCGGCACCACGTTAAAACCTTTTTAATAGCTATTTTAAAAATCAATTTTATCATTAACAGTTGCTTTTTTGTTTTTGTATAAATTTACTGTTACTGTTTTATTGTTTTAATTCTATGTTGTAAGCCGTCCCGAGATGCCGAGGCATGAAGGGACGGCATTTAAGAGTTTTAAATAATAAATACTTAAAACCCACCAGAATCAGTGAGACTGGGGAAAACATGCAGTTTTTGGTGCTGTAATGAAAACCCCATTTCCAACAGGGGTTCAAGTCAGCTCAGCATTTCAGCTTGCCGCACGGCCCGCATCTGAGCAGAGGCCTCTGAGCTGCCCCTCCACTGCAGTCAGCTCCTAGCCATCACCAAGGATGTGACTGACAAAATCCACCGTTTTGCTTGAGATTTTTGTTGCTCTTGTTCAGGGAATGGGGCAAACGCATCTTACAAGCAGCTGCATGGCAGTGACATTTCTCCGCCAAAATTAAGTAACCTGATTTCAGCTGGGTTGTAGCAAGAACTTCCCAATCCTTCTCAGCTCATGGAAGGTATCCAGCCAACAGCACGTGGCTATGGAGGCTCACCTCACCCTGGTCAAGACCCGGCGGAGCGATGAAGCCAGGGGGGATATTGCTTCCGCTCTGTTAGAACGGTGGTTTGATCTTCAGGCTTCACTTGCCAGCTTAGTGCCTGACTGAGGTCCTGCCCTACTGGAAGAACTTTAGCTTAGACAACTTACAGGAGAGGCTAAATGGGGCTTTAGGTTTGAGTCTGCAGCCTTTTCTCAAAGGGTTTCTCTGCCGTTCAAACACTGTAGCCTAGTTCCAAGGCTTCTCCAAAAGTTAGTTTGTCTGCTTCCTTTCATATTATGCATTTCATTAACTCTTCCCCCCGCTATAAACTTTACTATCCAAAGTTTATGTGCACTGTGTTCTCAAGCAATTCTCAGTATTAAATTCAGTGGCTTCTGCTTTAGTCATGGTACAGTTTAGGGTTTTATACTGGAAGGCTGGAAAGAAAAGTTGACCCTTATTTCTCTGCTCTTAGGATATATCCAAAAGTGTCCATATTTTTTTTTGGTGGGGGGAACAAGACTGGCAGTCTACCAGGTGGTCTGCTTGCCTTGCATGGAGTTGGGAGTTCGGCAGTAACTTGCTGCAACTCCCGTCATTCACATTCAAAATCCACGCTATTAAAAAGCTCCCCCATTGGTTTGTGCATTCAGAATCCCTATACAAGGCAGAAGTGCAGGGTGTGCAGGTTTTGGTTGTTGTTTTGTCCTGATCAGTTGTCAACCACCTCTTGATCGCAGCCAGATTGTTCATTTTGATCTCTGCCCCAGAAAGAGCCACTGCTGACAGTGAGTCACCATAAAAAGGATCACCTAATGAAACATCACACTGGGTTGCTCTTCCCCGTTTTCTGCTTTAACAGACATAACAAGTTACTATAAAATAGGCGCCCTCCCCCATTACACCATCCTTTTATTCCTCACCCACGCCCAAAACACCGCACACACCCTGGGCCCCTCCACCCCTCGTGCCAACTCCTTGTGCTAGAGAGCCAGTGTGGTGCAGTGGTTAAGAGCATGGGACTGGGACTCAGAGGATCCAGGTTCTAGTCCCCGCTCGGCCATGGAGCCAACTGGGTGACTTTGGGCCAGTCACAGACTCTCGGCCCAGCCTACCTCACAGGGTGGTTGTTGTGGGGATGAGATGGAGGAGGAGTATGATGTAAGCTGCCTTGAGCCCTTTGTAGGAAAAAGGCAGGATAGAAATCGAAAAATAAATAAATAAATAAATAACTCCCCCTGGCATTCTGTCAGGCTGGGCTGGGGGGGTGTGACCCCTCCGCTGCAGTCCTTAGGCAGGTACTCCAGGGGAAAACAAACTGGTCCCCCACTATCACCACCACGATCACAAGCTGACATTTAGGCTTGCCAATATTTTCCCCCTTCCCCTGTGTATGTGTGTGTGTGTGTGTGTGTGTATGCGTGTATGCGTGGGTCAGGAGAGGGTCATGAAGATCTTCTGCTAAGCTGGCTTCCGTGATCCCTATTTTGACTGCCATTAACAGCTCGGTCAAAGTGCCCAAGCAACTGTTTGTTTGTTTGTTAAAGCCCTTTTTGTGCCAATAACAACAACAGAAGTACACCCCACTTAAAGTATTTTTTTTTTAAATGCAGCCACAATTGAACAAGTGTCAGGATTTGATGCCTCATCTGGGGTAACAGTCAGGGAATAACCCCAGGTATTGCCCACAAGAAGCTCCCAATTCTCCCTGCACATTTTTGGTTTCTCTTGACAACTGTCAACAGACAAACTGTCAAGAGAAATCAAAGGAATGAAGGAACCTTGCACAAAAAGAGGTGGGGGAGGGCAGACTGAGATGTCCCCCCTACTAAGATCTTCCCAGATTCCAGTTAGGCTGCTTGTTAGAGCGTATTTCCACCTCTCTCCAAGCCTCTAAGTGCTCAGGAAAATGCCAAAGTGTATCTTCCCCCTTCTTCTAGAGAAATATTTGTTACTGAAACATTTCCTCTTTTAGGATGATTCGTAAGTGGCCATTCTACATAAACTACAAGCAAGTTTCTTCTTCCAGGAAAACATGCTCATGCGGCAGCAAACTTGCTTACTACCAGGAAACTCAGCTGAATTCAGCAGGACTTGACTTCTGCGTCAGCCTACACAAGACTGGGTGAATATTTACCTCGCAGCAAGTCCCACTGAGTGCACAGCAGAACAATCAACAAGGCTGCTTTCAACAGTTGTTTCCCTGCATTCAAGACTTCATAAGTCAGTCATGTGCACACAAGCAGCAGCAGGAGGAACCGGAGCAGGAAAAACACAACGCTGAGAAAGGGCAAACAGAACAACCAAGCTGCTAGAATAGCCGCTTTAGAAGGAAATATTGCAGTGTTGGGGGCTTCCAAGGGGGCAAGAAGGAGAGGACATGAGCAAGATTCATACAATTATGCTTGGGGTGGAGAATTTGGAGAGAAGTTTCTTCCCACCACTGTGCTCATACTCTAGGTCCTGGCTGTGCCATTCATGAGGTTGGAGTACTTTTTCCATGCCCTGCACAGTGAAAGCACGGAATCCATGACCATACGACACAGGGACACTTACATACACATGGCCACATCTCATGACCAACAATAGTATTTCCAGTATGTATTATCATCAGTTATTATTTTTTCTATTCCACTGTCTTTTCCCTCTTGCAAGGAACCCAAGACAGTTGCATGGCTCAATGGGGATTAGAATCCAGATCTCCCAAGTCTCCAGGCCAAGATGCCACATTAGCTCTCATCCAAAGCATCTACACTTATTCTCTCAGTAACTCTTCCCAGAAGCCCTGAAAACTCAGCTAGTTTCACAACCCACCTTCAGAGCAATCTTGCAAGGGAAATCAGAAAGCTCACATGCCAGCGGCAGGTTAGTGGAATGTGCAAGTAACCATGGTGCCTCTTCATGCCACAGCATCTTGTATTGTCTGAACTCGGAGAGGCTGGACCGGTGGGACAGTTTGTTAACCACAAGTCATGGGTTCCGGGCAGTCTGTGAACTGTCAAGGTGCCCCTGCTGTGTTTGGATGCTATGGCAACTCTGGTGACGATTATTAGGGAAACGGTCCAGCACACGGTGGGGGGGGGGAGGGTGGCAAGCCGCTGCGGCTTTTGAACCGCCCTTGTTTCATGGCTACTGAGTCCATGGCCATTTGGGCCATTTAGGCCAGTACTGCTGACAGCAACTTGGCTCCCGTGTTTCAGGCAGGACTCTTTCCTAGCCCTAACCAGAGACACCAGGGATAGAATCATGCTCCCCCACCAAGCTCTGGCCTCACCTGCTTGAGGTATACACCTTTTATACCAGGCTCTGGCCCAGGGATCGGAGGTGCTACTTGAAGCAACAATGCAGTAGATCTGGCCAGCTGAAAGGCCACTCGAGTTTGCATCCCAGAAAGTTACTCTACCTCTGCAGCAAACCTCCTTGACTGTATGGGGGCAGGGATACGACAGGCACTATCAAGCATCTTCTGGGGCGCTTCTAGGAACATGGGAACCTGCCATGTACAGAATCCAACCCCTTGCCCACCTAGCCAAGGTGTGTTAGCGCCGACTACTAACAGCCCTTCACATTTCCAGGCAGTGTCCTCCCACTTTTTCGCGGAGATGCGATTGGTCAAGCCGGCTCGATTGTCGGAACGTGGCCCTTCTCCAGATTCTCAGTGGATGGCTGAGCAGAGTCCTGCCGTGAGCAGTGACCTCGAGGCAGACCAGGCTGCTGGGCCACACCTGCGGGACCCTCGGAGCCCACTCTTGAACCTGGTGGCGGACTAGCAGCCACCTGACGGGGGGGGGTACACGTGCCTAAAGCGGCAGGCCCAGCTGACTGCCAGAGGCAGAAATGCCTAGAGGCGTGACTCTGATGAGCAAGGACTTACCCGTGAGCAAGACTACTCCCGAGCAAGCCCTTGCTCAAGCGGCACAGGCCGCCTGCAGCTCTGCTCTGGGCGGCACTCTGAGCGCTTCCGCTTCACAGCCGCAGACTCGGAGCGCTGAAGCATCACTTGCCGCTGCCTGCGGTCTCGGTTTCACACGACCACGCAGCCCCCGCTCCTTCACGCGCACCTTGGACTGCCTCCGGACTTTGCCTTTGGAGCGGCTCCAGCTACGTCCCCGGAGCAATGTGCGCGCGCCACGGCAGACAGGGCAGACGCCCCGACGAGACGCCGCCCGCCCTGCCCGCATCGCCGCGGCTGCTCCAGCAGATCCCGGAACAGATCGCAACCCGCGTTTCGCCCGCGCAGCTTCCTCGGGCTCTCCCCTCCGCCGAGCCAGGACGTACCTTCTGCGTCTGGCCCACCATCACGTCCGTGCAGCCGACGGGGTACGAGCCCGTCCCGTGCGGCAGCTCCAAGGACTGGGTCACCCCCATACTCTCCGGCGGGCCTCGCGCGGCCGCTCGCCCAGGCTTTCGTGGAAGGAGCCCGCCGCACTTCCTCCTCCGGAGCGTGCGGTGGCTCACGCAGCGGCCGCGAGCGCCGCTCCGCACGCCATTGGCTGCCGCGCGCGATCCCCGTTCTTACGTGGGCGGAGCTTGCGGGGAAAGGGAGGAAATCCGAGCTGCCGGGGCGCGGGCGCGGGCGCTGGCGGGGGGCGAGCGCGCTCTGACTCTCCGGCACGTCGCGGGAGATCTGCAGGAGGTCCGAGGATTCTTGATCCCCGAAGCTGACCTGCTGAAATCAGTATTTGTTTGCTTGCTGGCCATCAGATCTTCACAAAGCAAGTCTTTTTCAGTGCAGTGTGTCGCTAGCAATAGAAAGATCACACATTCACGCAGACTTCCCACTGAATAAACTTACAGGTCTGGATTGCCAGCTGGAACAAATAAACGTACACGTGTCTGAATAAAAATTTATAAAATCACCGGTGGACTTGCCAGGCACAAGCCTCCTTTAAGACTTCCCTTGCAGCCACCACTGCAGACTAAAGCAGGCAGCTCTTGCTGTTCGATTCTGCCTTGCCCAAGGGGCATGTGGACTATGCTCTCACATCCAGGCCGTTGCAAATTATTAAATAGTTTTCCCATATCTCTTAAATATTTTTCCCACAGCAGAGCATACACAAGACAAAATAATAAATAACAACACCAACTGAAGCAAGTTTGAGATGGGAATTTATTGCAGAAGGTTGGGGAACTGAGCCCTGGCAATGCAAACAAATGTTTGGTCTCTGAATTCTTTCCTCTACGGCTGCAATGCTCTGCCAGCTTTCCTGAGTGTGAGTCCCATTGCTTGCTTGGGACTTACTTCCTAGGAACATAGGCATCTCCCACATGCAGATATGCCTTGGGGCTTACTTCAAAGTAGACACGGCTAGGACTGCACTGTAAGTGGCCTGCCTTTCGGCCTAAGCATGGGCTGGCGGTTGTTGGGATTCCAGTCAAAAGGAAAGCAGATCCCTCAAGTTGAACCAGATGAGCCTTTAGCAGCACCAAGAAAATGTGTACGGGGGGTTCATCTGGTTTGCAGGCTCTTTAAAGGCAAAATTGTTAACATAATTATTCATTTGTAAAATAGAAATAACATAACAGAAATAGAAAATAGAAATAGAATAACAGCCATTAACCATGCTGGAGACCTCTTGGGTGTAGCCCTGTCTACTGGAGTTGTTAGATGATGCTACCCAGCCTTGTATCATCTCCAAGTATTTTGAAGGGATTTAACCCTCAGGACACTAAACCTTTGGTTTAGAGAAGTTTCCTCTTTTGACGTCAGATGTGACTATGTTGGACTACCTTGGCAATTTTGCACTTAAACAGGTTTAAACTCTGGTAGCACTGTTTCCAGCTGGTTAAACATCATTTACGTCTTGGAGTGCGTGCTGCGTAGCATCTCTGCAGGTCAGTTCTGTGGCCAACTGTTCTTAGGGCACTGAGAATGTAGCCTTTTTGTTGTGGATAAAATACGCGTTTATGCAATTAATGGGGAGGTAACTGAAATCACCCATTATTACAACACTTCCTCATTGGCGGCCCTGATCTCATTTGTTGTCTCAAGGTCAGTCTGACGGCTGTTCTGGGGAACAATATTATGCTGCTTGTACCGAGTCTGGTTTGGATCCGGGCCCTGTTGCAGGCACTGCTTCTGGGGAGGAGGCCGCCCCATCAAGGTTCTGGACTGCTGGACACTATGCCCTGTTTGGGCCAGTTAACGGCACCCTTCCTGATCCTTCCTATAAAGTTTACGCCCAGAAATTATTGTCTCCCACTATTCCATCAAGCGCCTACAATGCCCGCTAAATCTAGGCTTTCTGCTAGAGCGTTTTCTATTTTGGCTCAGAGGCCTCTAATGTTTTCCTAGAAACATCTATGCGTCCTATGCTTCTTCTCTGCCACGTACATCTTGGGTTTCGCCTTCTCCTCGATTAGCTATCAAGTTTCACACAGGCTCAAGGCCTATTTCGTCCCTTCTACGTTTAGACAATCAGAAACCCTTTTCTCTTCCTTCCCTAGGGATGATTTAAGCGAGACCAGATGCTTCCCGCCTCCTGTCGGCTTTCCCCCACGGTTCAGTTTAAAAGCTGCCCTACCACCTTTTGCATGTCATGTGCTGGCAGTCGGGTTCCATTTTGGTTCTGGTGGAGCCCATTTTGGCAGACCTGGCTTGCCCCAAAATGTTCTCCACTGCCAACCCCACCTCCTTGCACCATCATCTCATTCCCACACTGAAACTCCTCAGCTTCACCTGTCTAACTGGCCCTGCGCACCCTGTTGATCCTCAATGTCAACCTTCTACAGAACAACTTACATTCAGCTTCCAGCTCATCTCGGGTACCCACATGGGCCACAACCGCTGACCCGACCCCAGCACCAAACACCAAGTTCTCCAGATACTGTGATATCCACAAGCTTTGCACCAGGCAGAGAATTCACCATGTGGTCTACATGCCCGTCACAACCCAGCTGTCTTCGTGTCTAATGACAGAATTTTCTGCTTTCACAGCCTTCCAGGCAGGATGAGAGGATCTTTACCCATCTTCCTTTGCCAAACCCCCATTCGCTGTGGCAGCAGGAGAGCTGCTGACCCCCAAGGACTGAGACAATATTACTCAGTCCCTTGAAGGTCTTGTTCCCCAATCCCCCTGAACTTCTCTAGGAAAGCAACCTTGGCTTGAAGGAAACAAGCTTGCTCCCCAAGTCAGGCGCTCATTTCATCAAGCTCACACCTTCAACCAGTCCAGCAGGCAGACCGTCATACACCTGGCCCCCAGTGCAACATGGCAGACCCACCTTCCAGTGGCCTTTCTGCCTTCGTCACTGGATTGATGCTGTTGCTTAATTAGTATGATTCTATTACCTAAAATGTACGAGGAGAATTCTCTTGCAGCTATTAATTCCCAGTTTATGACTACCTGCTGTAAGAATGGAGAGGAGAGTTCACTTCCCTGACCTCCTCGCACTGTTACCAAACTCACACGATTGCTTAATTCCCGTTTGGGCTGATGCTTTGTCACTGAGACACTTCATCTCTGAGTCTTCGCTCCCAGCTGCTGGGTCCCTTCCAAGCCTAGCTCCTGGCTTAGCTCTTGGGTGCCACTGCAGCCAGTCACAGGGCCTTGTCTGAAAAGCATGGGAAGCTGATGTGAAACACTGGAGCCCCCTAAGAGTGGAGGTTGTGTATTCAGGACAATAGTGAATGAGTGCCTGAAGACTAGGCCAGTAGCCAATGAGACAGACAAAGCATTGATGATTTGTTGTGTGATTCGTTGTGTGTTTCTTTTGGAACTACATTTGAGCCATGATTACAGTTGGTATTTTATTGCACTTTAAAGATGCAAAAGTTGCAAGAAATGTGAGATATGCTGCACACTGAGAGAAAAAATGTGTGAGGTTGGCTTGTACTGAGAAAAGGGCATGATGTCCCCAAACAGTGTGTGTAGTGGACTGAAACTTTGTACAAAATTGAACTTTCTATAACAAATTTGTATATATATTTATGGTAGTAAATGATAAAATTGATTAATAATACACATATTTTATGCATTTTGACTTACTAAACTTTTTTGGGTTTTTTAACATTTTCTAGTCTATATGTGTTGTCTGCAATTTTCTGCAGGTCACAAAATTCCAAAAAGATTCCCATTTAATTATTGATGGCAAAGTTGCAAATAATAAAATCTGTGAAAGTTAAACCTGCAAAGGCAAGGTTCCTCTGTAAATGATCGAGGTGAACTCTCATGCTTGGAATGGACTGATTTCTGAGTCTTGGTTTATCTAAGCCAGGGTAAGGTCCCAAATCTGAACATGCACCGAACTGAAACTAAAGCTAGCTTACACATTTGTTTTGTAGAGTTGTATATTGCTTGGGTTTCCACAGTTTAAGCTTTGTTTTAGTTGAAACATGGGCTCTTCACAGGCCTGCAAAACCTGTATATTCCCACTTGAGTTCCCCCTGGAATTTAGCTCCCAACTGTACATTTATAAAACGGTGTCCCTCTGGGACTCAGCCCCCTTGTTTGGGCTCTTGTTCTGGCTTCAGATGAGTCAGAAATGATTAACTGGGATAATTTAACATATGACTAAGTAGATAAATAAACAGCACTCGCCTTTATCGGGATATTTGCTTAGCTCCCTTTTTAGCCACTGGAGCACAGTTTTTATTGAAAGAAAGATATGACTGAGTTAGGCAAAAAATATAACAGATTCCACAGATAAATATCTACAGATATGCTTGCCTTGTCGCAAGACTCCTTGTTTTTTTCTTTCAAAATAACAATAACTTTTCTGGTGCATCAGTATTGCAGTTTTGCATACAGTATGCAGTATTGCACATTCCTCTGTGATGGGGAAGGAGGCAGTACAATCGGAACCTAAATGATGCCTTTCACAGCTGGCCAGGGCCACACTCAGGGCTGGCTAGTTGCCGCGAGGCATCTAAAAGATATGGGGCTCAAGCCCCCAGGACACAACGCCATGCGGGCAAAAGATTATCAGGGACCTTTCAGCAACTGGCCCTGGACAACTGAATTGGACCCCTGGGTGCTGAGGCAGGTGGCCATACACAGGTTCAGGGCTCCAGATGAAAGATACAGAAAGAGCCAAGAGGTTGTAGCAGCACAGCCAGGATAAAAACCCTTTGCACAGAAAGGGGAAACTGAAGCAAGGTCACTTCAAGGTCATGCTTGCAAAGTGGAAGACTAGGGCACAGATCCTTGAATTCAGTGGCAACCCATTGCCTTGAAACAGAAAACTGAGGCAAATTAACTCTGAGAGGATGCCTGCAAAACAGGCTTGGGGTGTCTGACCCATAAAATACATCAAAGCATTCCTCTGATTCCTGTACCTTTTGAGGATTAGCCGTGATGACAACCACTGTGGCAAAGTTGTCCAGCCCGCCGGTTTGTTGAAGCACCTGAAATCATTGTGCGCACAGGCGTCCAAGTGTGCGCATGCAACAGGCAAACTGGAAGCACGGGATTTGGCGTGA